TTAGAACCGTTAATAATAGGTGACTTAGTTTATATGCAATATCATTTCTTTTCAGGTACATATTAAACAACTTTTCGGCTGGTTGGATACAGCTTTCTTCCTGTTCATTGTTTATTTTTGAAAATACAGGCGGCATTTTGTATTTTGATTAAGAGTTTTTCATCCTGTTTTTATAACTTTTTCTTGCAAATCTTTTCCAATCCTGTCTGCTTATCAGAATAGTCGTATAGTATTTCTTTGATTAACTTTTCATTTTTTTCTAATTGAAAGTTTCTTTTTTCTAACTCAAGAACGCGTTCTTTATATTGATTTACTAGCTTTGTCAATCTTATTATCTCATTTTTCACATGTTGAGGTTTAAAAAATAAACAATCCAAATTCTTCTTTATACATCTCCACAATGTTCATTCTTTTTAACCTTCACACATTTGATTCTGAGTTCTCTGCAATTCGTGCAACTTGTGCATTTGGTTTTATGTATTGGATCTATCATAACTTGGTTAATTTTATTCAACTTTATATTTATAATGGAAAATAGGTTACAAATTATGGAAAATTAGTAAAATTACAAACTTTGAACCAAAATTACAGGAAAATTTAATCAAATTGTTGGAATTTTATTTCGATATGTTATTAGCTACATTTATTTAAATAAAACGCATTGCCCAAGTCAAACTACATGGAAGTTACATATTATTTTGACTCAAAAAACAGAAATGAAGAGCCAAGATTTCAGGGGAGATCTGGGTCAGTCTCCAAGCTTTTTGTGACCCGAAAGAAGCAAACCGTTAAAAGTTTCAAGATTTTACATCTCGTTCTCATGAAGAGAAGCTGCCAAGACCTTTCTTTATGCTCATCCATTTTAAAAAAAGTTTGACTTTTGTAGTTCAGGTACAGCTGCCAAAAGCCTAAAACAGTGTACTAAGTCGCATCTCAGCATTATAAGCCTGAGGTTTTAACCGGTAAAACCATGTAGTATACCCCGAGATGACTAACATTTGAGAGGGACTTTTTACTCTTCTATGGTAGAAAAAAGTTTAAACACATCCATTCCTTGAGACGTTTCTCAAGGTGCATTTGAATGCAATACTAAGTTTTTCGTTTGCTCTCGAGGTAGAAAGCATGGCCAAAACTTAATAAAGACCATCTGAAACGATAAAAAATGACCGGTTTATTCTTCCTATGAAGATGTGAAAAGATGAGTACCCTTCTCCAAGTTTTCGTGAAAAAACTCAGATATCTTATATGTCAGTCACTGCGAGGGAAGCTCATATAACTTAGTTTAAACTTGTATTTCCTAGTCTTAACATGCAATCATTATGGAAAAGAATGAAAGGGTGAAACGCAAAATCGGATGCAATCGGTAGATATTTGTACTGTCGATCAACCGAATGTGTTACATCTGCTTACGTAATCACATATGCATCACTATTAGATACCCAAATCCAGATTCATACAAATATAATTATAGAATGCACTAAAATCACATGTTTTATTTACAAAAAATTAAATATATAATACAAATATTTACAAAAAATTATGTTTAAAATACTAAATTATTTTCAGCATAATCTAACAAATTGGTATAGTCCAACATGTATATATGACTAAAATTTTTATTTAAAACTCCTATCGTGTACTCGAAATCCTCCTCATATTGCTTTCTTCTCCAGAGCAACAAATCCCAACTTTCTCGATAATACCAACAACCATCATGAAACAGGTTGTAGTAACTTCTTACATGCGTATCCAAAAATGAAAAATACATCTTAAATCTTTGGTATTTCTCAGATTCTTTTCTTCTTACATCGTCAATATATTCTTCATATCTTGTATAAAATTTCAGATCAATTACAGAGAATTGACTTTCAAATTCAACAGTTGGTAAGGAGTTTTTAAAAGAATTTTCTTTATCGTCTGTTGAACTTGACGGCCAAGACGCAACTTTTTCACAAACATTATCCCAACTTTTATCTTGTTTTTGGGTTTTCTTGAAGAGTTTTAAGAGTTTTTTAAAGAATTTCATATTGTGTATTGTGTGTTGTATTTGTAAAATTCAGTTGCCATTAAATAAACTTTTTTTTTGCAAATCTTTGCAAATTATCTTTGTTATCATGAATCTAATTGGTTCTTTACGTGTTTAATCTGTTTATTTTTAGTTTCTTTCAAACTGGTTTGCTTAATCCCACAATTTTTTTTTAAAAGTATATATTTACTAGAATTCATACAAATATTTCAAAACTGGTCTGATTAATAGTGCATTTTTTTATATATTATCAATTACCAATATTGTGCAAGCTGCACCAACCACTTTTTTTTTAAAACGGTCATGACAGCCTGTTGTGGGGTCGAAGAATGACACGTTCGCTACAACTTAAGAACAAGAAATTCGGCTGCATCTGTTGAATATTTATTATAAATATATACTAATATTTTATTTTTAAAGTAACAGCAAATAAGGTAAAAAAAGATGCAACATGAGATTATCATGAACAAAACAAATGCTATTTTCAGAAACATATTTCAATTAATGATGATTCTTTGCACACAAAGTTCACGTATGTCTTGATCGAGATACTTCAAGCCTGTTGTTTTTACAAGTTAAAAGATGATAATAAGGTGGTAAAGAAATATGAAAAGATCATGAAGGAGATTGATGATGCTCAAGACAAAGATCAGTTTGTAATAGAACTTTCGTTAAAATATAGTCAATATCCGTTTAAACCGCATCTTTATGCAGATTATTCTAGGTTGTTGATCAAAATCACAATGTTGGAATTCTATTACAAACTGATAGAAGGTCAAGCAAAAGAAAGAAAAATTCCTGTGCTTATATGTAACAAACAGGTAAAAAATCGAACCAGACGACTACCAAGATGGTTAAACAGAGAATTCAAATTGATAATGAAAGAAGAGTATAATTTTGAAGCTATAGAACAAAAATCAATTTACATGATCCAATACTCTATCAAGTTTTCTTAGAAGAGATAGTAATTATCTTAATACAATGTAAAAAATATAAGATAAAAAATACAAATTGTGTTTATGTAAATTATCAAAAGATGTGTGATGATATTTTTAAAGCAGAAAATAAGAACCAATTAGTAAAAAATTTAGCAACATCAGCACATTTTCACAAATTTGATCCATATTTGTTTCATTACAAGCCAAAGTTAATTCCACCCATATTCAGATTAGAAACACTTTTTAAAGAACTTTTAAAACAAAATAGCATAGTAATATGTAAAGTTTTAAACAAATTAATAAAATAATTCAATAAATTTTATTAAAATAAAGAAATAAAATAAAAAATAAAATAATTACAGCAAGTATTTCTATTAAAAAAGACCTGACATTTGGTATAGTTACTAAATGGAGAGATAGTGGAACCAGTTAGTATTTATTTTCTAGGCATATTAAAAATAATTTAAAGAAATTAAAAAATATTCTATAATAAAATCTTATAAATGATTTATAAACTATCAAGATATACATTTGGTTAAACCTTTAATTGGTGTTGGGACACATCATCAACTGCTTTTACCAAATTCTAATAATCTTTGGAATCTAATTTACAAATCATCCTTAAATCCATAGTGGAAGTCCTATATATTTGCTCAACTCCAATTTTCTCAAAAATATAAAACACTTGCATAGATACTTCAACATAGTATCTACTAATTTCTAATTTCTTAATATAAAAATTCTTTTCTGATTTAGTCACTAAA